AATGGTTCAGATCACAAAGGCCAGCGTCTAATGGTTAGGAGAGTGAGTCACACGCCTGTTTCTGTCTCTGATGCTTTTCCCTTTTTCTCCTTCCCTCTCATGCAAGCAGCTCCCGCTCGCACGAGCCCCATGGAAATACGTCTGCTCCAACCGTCCGGCGTGCGGTGAGTGAACTCGACAGAAACACTGCAGCGTACTGGTGTCATCTGTGCAAATGAAAGCAAAACTAGGACACGACTGTAAACAGAGCAGCGAAATGTGCAGCGCCAGTTGGTGCACTTCTGATTTCTTGCAGACAGACATGCTGCTGATGCATAATGTGGCCTTCTTTAATGTTCAAATTTTAGGTTAAAATAAAAGCATTATGTAAAGTGTACAAGAAGTTCTTAAAATATGATCTGCCTGAAAATGCACCTTATTATTTCAAAGACACTAGAGCTTTCAGGTTGTAAATTATTGTACTATTGTACTGTACTATTACAGAAAATTCTAATTAAAAAATCCTGGAAACAAATTTACAAGATTGACATCTGAATAAAATACAAAACAATGTTTTAAATAACACACAAATAACTACTGGTTTGACCTGTATGGACTTTTTAAAGGCCAAAAAATACCAATATCAACAATGGAAGGTGGCTGCTATATTCAATAATCCAATTTACAGAAAATTAGACTTATATAAAATTGCTGAAATTAAATAAACATTTCACACACTATTTACTCGATTCAGTAAAATTGTTTTTTAATATATTTAAAAAAAACATTTATTATTATATTTATGTTTCCAAGGCTGGTTTGACCAATATGGATTTTTTTAATGGCCAATAATACAAATAGCAATAGTGGAAGGTGGCTGACATAAAATAAATATTCCAATTTATGGGAAATGAGATGTGCATAAAATTACTTAAATTAAAATAACGCTTATTTTACACAGCATTTACTCAAAATTCAGTAAAAAAATATTTTAACAAATATTTATTATTAGAATATTTATGTTGACAAGAATATCTGTTTACAAGGCTGGTTTGACCGATATGGATTTTTTTGATGGCCAACAATACAAATATCAATAGTGAAAAGTGAAAAGTGGCTGGTATAATGTTAATATGTTAAAACGAATCCAATTTATGAGAAATGACATGTACATAAAATAGCTTAAATCAAATAAACACTTAGTTTACACAATATTTACATAATTTTGTACAAATATTCAGAAACATTTATTATTATAATATTTATGTTGACAAGAATATTTGCTTACAAGGCTGGTTAGTCCAATAAATATTTCATTGGCCAATAATACAAATATCAGTAGTGGAAGGTGGCTGATATAATGCTGATATAATAAACATTTTTAATTAGAATTTAACTCTAATTTATGGGAAGGGATGTGTACATAAAATTGCTGAAATTAATTAAGCATTTATTTCAGACACTATTTACTCAAAATCCTGAACAAATATAAAAATAAAAGTTTCTTAAAAGAATATTTATGTTGACAAGTATACGTTTACAAGGCCAGTTTGACCAATATGGATATGGCTAATAATACATCAAATTTCTGAAATTAAATAAACACTTATCCCACACACAATTTATTAAAATTCAGTCAAAAATGTTTATTAATAGAATATTTATTTTGACAAAGCCATTGTCAACATTTGAAACTGATACGGGGAAAATACCACTAATCAGCCTATAGTTGTCAGTCAACAATGATAATAATCTCAAAACGCCCAAATATTGTCTGTTTTATCGGTTTGGCTGTGTTGTTAAAAATAACACCCATAATACATTCAAAACAAACATTATTTGCACATTAAATGCACATTTTTTTGTTCTGACTCTGCTGGAAATCAGTGTATGGATGGATATGTTAAACACACATTATGAAAACTGGGATATTATGAAAAGGGAACGCACTGAAATGATATTCAGAAAAAGTTAATGGAAAGGTGGCTGTTCTGACATTACAGCAAGCTTCGCTTCTAGGCCCAAATGAGAAAAGCAAATGTGTGTCAGTGCTTTTAACTGAGAAAATCTGCCTTTTTGAGGTTGCGTTTATTATTTCAAACTTTTAAGCTCAATTTCATTGTCAGTCTCTTTATTTTGGCTCAATCAGTGTGGCTTTTCATCTGCCAACTGCAGTTTGTTATTCTGCTGAGATACGTGCGAGTGTTGCCTTGACAGTCGCTGCAAATTCCCAGCACATCAGCACCGCCACGGATCCTTTATCTAACGTAAACACGCCATATAACTATAAAAGACGCATTTTGGAGGCTAAGTAGCCATGAAGCAACCTGGACAGAGACAAGCCTGTTATTATTCATCTTAACGCAGATTCTCACACAGGGCCTTTCGTGCATGTGGCCCCGTGACTTTAAAAAGGGTCAGTGGAAAAGCAGCAGGAACCACAGGCTCTCCTTGGATGGTGGCCCAGCTGTGGAAAACTGGGATCTTTGAATAATAATCCCTAATATGTCATTCTGAACGTGTGTGAGCGCAGAACAAGACGAAGGGAGTGGGCGTAAACATCTGATCTAGATTGCAAACTCACAGGCTAAAATTAATCTCAAATCTGTCCTCCCCAAAAACAAATGTCAAACCAAAACCTTGAAGCTACATCCAAAAATGCTTAAATCATTACATAACCACAACAAAAATCTGTCTACACTGAAAAATGGTGTAGAAGCAATTTTCTCTCAGAAACTACTAAAAAATTGCATACATAATTACAAAGAAATGGTCAGTAATGCACTGATTTAATGTGAATTTTTGAAGCAGAATGACCAAAATAGTATTTTCATGTAAAACATACTACAATCATAATTTTGTATTTACAAGTCATTTATTACAGTGCCGTTTAAATGTAAAAAATGTGGGAGAAAAATAAATAAAAATTATAAATGATAATTTTAGATTTTTCAGTAAGCAATTTTTTCCTTAAATTTGCTTTAAATATTTCTAAATGGCCAAACAAACTGAAAAAAGCCAGGATTACATAAACCAGGTACACAGATTGTAGATTGGAAACATATAGATTTTGAAAATCAAATAATAATTCATAATTCACAAATTTATTAAACGTCTGCTTGCAGAATTAATATCGACCCTGTAATCAAAAACATATTTTCAATATACATGCCTGTCTAGGAAACTTTCCTAGTTAAAAGTGAAAGTAAATAAAAGCAGCTAATATTGAACCATTTTTAGATTATTGTCATTGGACACTAACTGTACCTGATTGATCAAATAATAGTAAATATTGTGGAAAATGACAGAATGAAAAAAAAATAATAATTACAATTTTATATATATATATATATATATATATATAGAGAGAGAGA